GAAGCAGGACATTGCCAGTACTCCAAAAGAATATTTACAAAAGGTCTCGGGGCCACTGCCGCTTTAATCTTCGAGGAGGATTATAGGGATGGTCAGAGCTGAATAGGGATTGAGCTAGAGGGTTAGGATGATGAATAAGATTCTGGTGGAATTTTGTAAATCTACATGGTATAACGTCAAGATCATATGGGATGTTAAGGTCTTGTTCGTAACATAATAAGGAGCATTGACTCCTTTAGGAAAGGCAGGATTCTAGGAGATACCAGCGGTTCGCACTCATCCATATTAATGGTATTAAGGGTTAGTGGAAGCTGAGCAGAATTTCTTATATTCAAGAGCATAACGTAAGTGTTTACATAATCAATTATGGGATTAAACATAATCCCACCAAAAAAAAAATATTAATAAACATTGAAACTACTGACTTTTATTTAAGTGCAAATAACCAATATGGCGCAACTTTGTCGGTTGGAAGACAAATAAATGCAGCGAAGAGGGGAGTTTTTCGCTGTTTCTATTATGCAAATTGGGAAGGCTGTGCGACTAGGAACGAATACAAAAATAACAAAATGCAGCCCATTACAATTCAGTAAGTGCTTTTTTGTTTTTACTGCCTAACTGTACACTGAAGAACAAAGTGGGTTCCATTACTCCCGGGGACTGTACCGGAATGGAATTTAACCGGTGAAATCAGAAAAAAATATCAAATAACAAAAGTGAAACAATATCAGAATCAACATCCTTTAAAAAATTGTTAAATATAAAGAATGAAGAAAATTTATTGGTAAATAAAGGAGAAATAAGGGTTGGAAGCTATATCCAAACAACCCAACCTTTGGCGATCCTCTCCCTTTAATGATATATCGATACCTCTCTGTAGAGGGTTTTCAGATTGTTGTTAGTTTAACATTTAAATATCACTTAATCATAACTTTTTAAAAATGTTTTTTCAGCGAAATGTTGAGAATCTACTGATATAAACCTAATAATTTGCAATATTTACTAACTTTAACTAAATTTTTTTTTACGAGTTTCGTTATTAATGTATCCGAAAAAACTCAGACTTTTTTCAAAAGATCTATTTTCTTCCAGAATCATTAGTATCCTTTGGTCATTTTGTCTTCCCTGTATAAGAGAATATCTATCTCCTCTAAGATTGGTAAGTGTAAGCTGTGTGATCCGCACACCGCACCAGATATTTTATTATTTAGTTTTATTAATTCATTTTTGTATTGTTAAATTTGAATTATGAGACATACAAAGAACTTTATACTCCATTAACTACCCTTTATACAGAATGATATGCAGTTACAATTCTCCCGATCCTGAAACGTATCTTACATTCAAAGTCCACATAAAGAAATTGAGATGTGTTAGTCAATTAAGAGTTGTAAACCCAGAACACATCAGAATCCATGCAAAAAACAGAACATTTTCGATCGAGTCTCAAGAAACCTGTATATCATGCAGCCAATTTATCTACAATATTCTACATCACATTCTCCTTCACTGCCCAGCATACAATGACTATAGACAAGAATGCCTTCAAAACTTCATCTCAGAATCTTCTGATAACCGCAACGTCGATTCCATACTGAATATCGATTGTATAGATAAATTAAATAAAGTTTACTATTTTATGAAGGGAGTTCACAAAGTGCATACACAAAATTGTTGATCATAGTCATGTTCTATTAAGCGTTTGTTTTTAGTTTATCTTAAGAGTAATATTTTGTTTTTATTTATAAATATTTTTATTTTATATTGTTTCTATCATAGTAACTGGTTCATATAACCAATATTATGCAGTAATCGTTTTATGTTTTTAATTTTTATTGCTATTCATGTTTTGTGGAAACCATTCTAAACGTTAAATATTGTAAATTTGATTTATATTTGAATTATATGTATGTAAATTTGTAAAACCATCTTATTGTACAATAGCCAAGCTAAAATATCTATCTATCTATTTGAAGTATGAGTATTTTGTATTCATGACTAATCAGCTGTTTTGTATAACCTTCCTCTCCTGTTTCCTTCAGTATGAATTGGTTGGCTTGGTGAGATGACAATATAAATTTTTTTCTTATCTTTTTTGCATATATGTGATCTTGTTTTCTATGTCCTGATGCCTTAATTAAAACGTTGGCAATTTAACTGTTCGCCTCTATGTTAGAGAATCATGGCTTTGTAGTTTGGATTTCGTATAGATTCATACAGTTGCAGAACCCCTATGCAACTGATACAATGCATTGGGACTAATAGCTCTGGAGCCAGGTCCCAAAAAATCGACCTCATTGCAGGCGAAATTTCATTGTAAATTACGAAAGTGTATGTTATTCTGAGTAAAAATGATCTTTTGGACCTCTTGGAGCCTGTTTTCCACCTCTCAACAGCAAAAGATTTTGGTAAAAGATGTGTCGAAAGATACCGAATTTTATAAAGGAATAACGAATCCCTATTCGAGATAAATAATTGGAGTACAATAAAAATGTCAGTAGTCGGTCGACGCAAAATTTAATGCTCTACAACTTTGATTTTATGGGGTTTTCCTCTTAGGAAACTCATTTCCAAGTTAGAGGGTCATTTATAGTAATTTGTCTCAGTTTTTTATACATTACCGCGAAAGTTTATGTACTCGTTTGACGCAAAATTTAACGTTCTTTAATTTATTAAAGGGTACATTTTTCGTTTTGATGCATCGTTTAGGAGTTATAGGTGAAAGAACAAAAACATAATGAAAAAATCTGACTTTTTTTACTGTAAAAAGTTTTCCCTTGGTGGCCCACGTTAGCAGTTTTGTTTTTTACATGTCTAAAAACATATATACATGTTAAAAAAAAAAAAAACTTTTCTCACATTTTTCGCAATGGATTTTCCGTTTCGATCCTCAAATTAGTGGCCTAATATTCTTTAAATCAGCCGCCATTTTTTAAAGCCTTTGATTCTATGGGTTTTTTCTCTTAGGGAACTCATTTTCATGTTACAAGGCCATTTATAGTAATTTGTCTTAGTTTTTGGCAAATTTGGTAAAACTTAGCGTTGGTTGACCGTGGTTTTATACCTTAGCGCGTAACCAAATTTTAAAGTTTATATACTCGTTTGACGCACAATTTAACGTTCTTTAATTTATTAAAGAATAAATTTTTCGCTTTGATACATTGTTTAGAAAAATCCAAAAAATATCGAAAAAATCTGACTTTTTTGGCTGTAAAAAGTTTTCCCTTGGTGGTCCGCTTTAGCAATTTTGTTTTTTACATGTCTAAACCCATATATACAAGTTAAAAAAAAAAAAAAATGTTCTCACATTTTTCGCAATGGATTTCCCGTTTCGATCCTCAAATTATTGGCCTAATATTATTTAAATCAGCTGCCATTTTTTAAAACAACAGCTCTGGAACGGCAGACAAGATTCTTTTTACTCAAAATAGCACACACTTTCGTAATTTACAATCAAACCTTCGCCTGCGATATGGTCGATTTTTGTGCCCTGGTTCAGGGCTATAAGAAGATATTTGGGTGCGTAATAAATAGAGATAATTTCCAATAAAGTAATAGTAAATGAAAAAAAATCTCAAAAAAATAAGGCCCGAATTTTTATACCGAAAAAAAACGACATTGATATATGGCATATAATTTGGCTTAAAAACCACGATAATACTCAGTATAATGTTCCTTAAAAATATGAAAAATTCAATAGGCAGTATTGTTCGAAACTGCAATCATTATTCGCAATTTAATAATATCAAATAATTTTCAATATATATTTATATAATTTTTAGTTGACCTAATTCGGTCCACAATTATTAAATATTAAAAAGTAACATGCCATGTGGATTCGCTAAACTTTATTATTATTTTAATTTCCAATGACTAGATTCAATTTTTGATCCTATCAATAATATCCATCATTAATACAAAATAATTTTAAAAATATGAGACCACTTACCAGATTCTAAAGTTAATGAGGGGTTTGCGATATGAACTACATCTGTGGTTGATGATGTTTTTAAGGGGACATCTTCTTTTTTCAATAAATCTGTAAAAATTATACATAATTAAAAAACCACTTTATGATTGAGTTAAATATCAAGATATAAACGTTATAATAAGCATCGTATAACTTTTAATGTAATTTAACTCAAAATGATATAATTTATAATATAATATAATAAAAACATATTTTTATGAAAAAAATCTTTATCTTCTAGTATGGTTCTGAAGGGACCATTTGAAAGACTATTTTAATATCCCTTGTCATATCTTTAAAACAAAAAAAAAAAAAAACTGAATTTTTTTTTTTTATTTCTTAGTTTGCAGAACCTTAAACTAAAAATACAATGCTTTCACAGTCTAAATGGCTATGTAAAAATGTCTGTAAAATACTTTATATAAAATATATTTATACTTATACTTATTAAATATTTTTATTCCAACTTTGTCGTAGAAAATGTATAAGATAATCACGTGGAAATAGAAGTGAACGCATAAAAGTTGAATGAATCATAAACTCCTAGGAAATTATATAATCATTCCTGAATATAAATGAAAATTTAAACAATAGTTATATTTAGGTCAGTATAAAATAGTCCTAAATCTCTCCATTGAATCTGATACATTGCAACTGTATAATTTTTCAGGCAAAACGAAAAAAGAAATCCAGAACATATTCAAAAACATGGTTTAGTACAAAATGTTATGAAGTACCAAATCTTCTGCATCTTCTTTTCAATGAATGACAACGACATTCACCAAAATTCTTAATTAATATAATTCTTTCAAAAATATATTTTTTCATAAACCAAGAATGTAAAAAATATTTACATTCACCATTAGGATTCGGGATATAAAATTATTGCTAGCTCTTTATAATCTTCAGTAGCAGGTAGTAAATCAGTGTGTTCTTAAATGACATTTCCGTTTATCCTTCAACTTCTTCGAACCACAGAGGTCCGGATGCCATAAGACATATCACCAAATGCCCTCCATATCTACGATAGGTGTGGCCTCGGATTCCTCGGAGTACTCTCGGAGCAGCTTCCGGTCAGAGATCCACCCTATTCAGATGGCAATCTCTTGAGGACTTCCTGGACACCGGCGCCGAGGCCTTCCTCTACGACCTGCTCCTCCTCTGCACCTTTCAACCATTGTCTTCTCCGATTGACCCACGCGGAAGTGAGTTAATGGTTGCCGTACCTCTTAGTACCGAAATATTGGCCAAACCCCTCGTTTTGGAACTTGAACGACTTCCTGACTCGATAAAGTATGAGATAGCGTTATATCTATTCAACCGTGAAGCGGACTATGTGACAAAAAGACAGGTATAATAAAAAAAATTGAATATGTTAGCCATTCACTTTTTAAATTTATCGGTCAATAGGTGAAAGAATGACGTCACTGCATATTGTACAAATTTGTAGAAGACGCAAAATAATTACTGTTCTTACTATGTTCGTGGTGCAGGCCACTTTTTATTAAATTATTAACATCCACCAAAAACTTCGTAAATAGCTTCATCTCATCGTAAAATGTTTGTGGAAATATTTTAATTACGAAAATTCTCAGAAATGGGGCGTTTTCAATCCGGAGATCGGCAAATTAGGTCTTTGTCTTTGTATATTTAATTAGGTACGAAATCGAAAAGAAAAAAAGATGGACTACAAAAATATTGGACCGTTTGACGTGGCCTCAACCCCCAGAATATCAAAATAACGAGATGAAATAGACCAAACGGCCCAGTATTTTTGTAGGCCACCTTTTTTTTTCTTCGATTTTTTGATCATATTATCTTACAATTCAAGTGGAAAGCAAATTAGTATTCATGAGTTTTTAGTACCTAATTTAAACTAATAAAGTTGACCAATTTTGTAGTTACCCGTACTCCAGAACTCTAAGATATATACTACAAAAGATCTCTGGGCCACTGTCGCTTCAACCTTCCAGGAGGACTGTAGAGATGAGTGGAATCCAGATGGAGATTGTGCTAGGGGATTTGGATGATTTGTAAGGTTCTCATAATAATTATGTTGAGTTTTTATGCATAATAAAAACGTTTTTTTTTTTTTATCGTCCCCCCAATCACCTCCTATATGTGTTATCGAGCATGTTACTTGTGGCTATGTCTTAAATCGGTTCGCATATCCTTGCAAGTTATTGTGAAATCTTTTGTAATGTGTTAGTATTTATGTGGTTATCACAATTTTCCTAAACCATGAGAAAAATAGCTTGTGGAGGGAAACGGTTTTTTTCTCTAGACAAGTGTTTGTAAGCTTGTGTTTGTGGTCGACCCATCGGATATCGGTTTTCCAGCACAAATCAAAACGAAACAGTGGTAGAAGGGGTGAGCGATAGTCGATAGTACTAGTACTATAAAACTATCGATATTCCTGGTGACTATCGATTGTTCGTATCCTCCCCTTTGACACTAATTATCTTTAAATTTTATATACTTAAAGCAATAATTTTAATAACGGGCCTTCATATTTCTAGCCATCAATGATGTACGAGATATATTGATAATATAATAATGTAAAAGTTAAATGTTTGATTATAGAAAATTGTTGTAGTATAAATGAAACTGGACATTAAGAACATGAATGGATGGATACGTGAAGGCTTGTTTAAAGCTATTCTTATCAATATATAAAACAGAAATAAAATTGAACAAGAACAAGCGAAGCCTTCATGATGAAAAATTAATTCAATCTCAAATTACTTTCTTAGAAATATGTTTACACCTTCAGTTGTGCCGATAGAAAAAAAAATGTAACATTTACCTCACATATTTTATCATAAAAATATATATTTACAAAATAAACAAGGATCCGATTACAGTTTAATTATATTTTAAACTAGGTGGTATTATCAAAATAAGTTCAGAAAATTAGAATCTTGAAAATTAAAAGACAAGCATTTCTCGCCTTTCTCTTACAAAATAAAATACTATCTATATGTCGTTAATGTTTCTCTTTTGAATTCTACAATCAGAGAAATAAATACAATTTATTTTTATATATAAATGTATTTTCCCGTCAATAATTTTTTGAATTATTTATTTAGTAATTTTTATTAGTGCTTCAACAGAAATCTGTAAGGATGTATGCAATATAAATGTTAATTATAAAGTTTATGCAGCAAATTAAAGTAAATAACTAAAGAATACAGCGAAAATAAATCCTCTTTAAGTCTGTAATGGGAACTTACTGAACTATCGATACTTTTTTTTTTTTTAATAGCTTATTTATTGAAATATATTACAATCTGTCTCAGGGACATTAATAATAGTGTTCACAGATCACATTCACACTCTATATACAGTAAATAAAATAAATTATACAGAAAAATAATATATATACAATAAACAAGAATAAAATAACCTAAAAATAAATAAATAAAAAGAACACATGCACACCTACATACAATATTTACAACTTGGCGAGAGAACTCCAAGCCAGACTTGTCCCTCCAACTGTGGAGGGAAAAGTATGACTCCAGGAGTTCCCTGCACTCCTCTCTCAACCGCGTCACTAGGGCTAAACCCAGTGGAGATTGAGAAAGAGTGCTTTAGCCACATACACTCATGTCGTGAGTGGAGAATCTGGCCATTGCCAGAACTCCAATATTTACAAACTATAAAAGATCGCGGGGCCACTGCCGTTTTAACCTTCTTGGAGGATTATATGGATGGGTGGTGCTGGATAGAGATTTTGCAAAGGGATTTGGATGATGGGTAAGGTTCTGGTGGAATTTGGAGAATTTTGCTGGGATAAGGTCTAGGACAAATGGGATATTAAGGTCATGGTGTAGGGTTTTGTTGGTTACATAGAAAGGAGCATTGGCTATTGTTCGAAGGACTTTTGATTGGAAGGATTGGATGCGTTTGATGTTAGTAAATTTTGCTGTTCCCCACAGTTCAAGTCCGTAAGTCCAGATAGGTTTCAGTATTGTCTTGTAGATCAGTAACTTGTTTTCAATGGAAAGTTTTGATTTTCTGTTTAGTAGCCGGTATAGTTGTCCGTATCGTCGGTTTAGTTCCTGTCTTTTAAGTCTAGTATGAGGGTTCCACGTTAGTCGTCTGTCTAAGAGAAAGCCAAGGTACCGGACTGTGTCCGAGAAAGGAAGCTGAATGGAATTAAAGTGTACTGGTGGACAGGAACTGCGTCGGAGCGTGAAGGTGATGTGTTGGCATTTGGATTCGTTTACTTTAATTCGCCATTTATTACACCAGTGTTCAATCAGGGAGAGATGTCTTTGAAGGTTTAAGGATGCTATATCAGGATCTGAGTCGGATGATAGAATGGCGGTGTCATCAGCAAAAGTTGCCAGGAAGGTATCGGGATGGACAGGGATATCAGCGGTAAAGAGGATGTAAAGGACGGGACCCAATACGCTACCTTGAGGAACACCTGCCTCAATTGGATAGCAATTCGATAATTCACTACCGCAGCGAACTCGGAAGGTACGATCTGAGAGGTAGGAACGGAGGACAAGGTACAAGGACTGAGGAAGATAGGTTTTCAGCTTGGAAAGAAGCCCGGCGTGCCATACCCGGTCAAAAGCTTGAGCTATGTCCAGAAATGCACCCGAGCAATATTGCTTGCTTTCCAATGCTGCGGAAATATGATCGACCACTCGGAGTCCTTGTTGGACTGTGGAGTGTTGTGAACGGAATCCGAACTGATGTGAAGGAAAATTTTGGGATTCTATAAAGGGTAGGATTCGTTTCAGGAGGATCTTTTCAAAGATTTTTGAGAGAATCGGAAGTAGGCTAATTGGTCTGTAGGACGTTGAGATGTTGGGAGGTTTGCCTGGTTTCGGAAACAGGATAATAGTGGAATGTTTCCACAAGAGAGGAAAGTGGGTGGTTCTTAGGATGGCATTATATAAGTAGGTGAGAAATATAACAGCTTTAGGAGGAAGTTGTCGAAGGATTTGAGAGGTAAGGAGGTCGTATCCAGGAGATTTACGGAGAGGAAGTTTTTGTAAGTGATGTTTGACCTCAGAAGGATTAACTGCTTTAGGTGGCAAGGAAAGTGGAATGGGAGATGTAAGGAATTCTTCTACTGTTGTGGTATGGGTGAGGTTGGATTCCGGATGAGAGGTAAATGTTCTGGAGAGGTGTCTGGCGAATTCCTCAGCTTTATCTTCATCAGACGCTGCCCAGGAGCCATCGCTTCGACGGAGGGGATGGGAAATATGATGGGATTTTAGGATTTTGTTGGTGATCTTCCATAGGGAATTGTCATGAACAGAGAGGGAAGTAAGGTAGGAGTTGAAGGATTGGGATTTGAAGGTGGCCAATTCCTGCTTCAATTGTTTACTGTAAAAATTATAGGAACGACGATCGATGGGGTGTCTAGTACGTTGCCATAATAATCTGGCGCGGCGTTTGGTATGGATTAGGTCTATGAGGTGTTGAGGTAACTTATTTTTCTTGGGAGTTCTTGAGGAGTGGTTTGGAGAGGAAGCAGTCCAGATTGCTTGTTGGATAGTGGTGGTGAAAAGGTGTACGGCATTGTCAAGGTCATCTGGGGTTTTTAGGGTTATTCTGAGGTCAATTTTATCGGATAGGATTTGGTGATAGAGTTTCCAGTTAACTGGGCCTCTGATGAAGGACGGTGGAGAAGACTTAGGAATAGGAGCAAGAGATAATTGGAGTAATAATGGACTATGATCTGAGGATAGTTCGGCAAGACGGGTAAGGGAATGATTGAGGGGACCTAAGCCACTGTGGATGAAAAAATCAAGGATATCGGGATTGCGGTTAGGATCTGTGGGCCAGTAGGTAGGTGACTTAGGAGGAAGGATACTGAACCGTTGGGAATTGAGTGCAGATAACAATGTTCTGCCACGAGAGTTCGTGGTTCTAGAACCCCATTGATGGTGTTTGGCGTTTAAATCTCCACCCAGGATGAAATTATGACCTAAGGAGTTGAGGAGAGAACTGAACTGGACTTTGGATATGGATCTGTTAGGAGGGCAATATGCTGATGCAAGGGTGACTGGAAAGGAGAAGGTTTTGATTACAATAGCGGTTGACTGTAGGAAATCTTGAGTGGGTAATGGGAGTAAGTGATGGGAGAGGGATTGGTGTACGATGACAGCAGTACCGGCATGTGCTCTGCCGTCAGGATGGTCAGTACGGTAGGTTAAATACTGTGGGATTTTCAAATGCTGTTTTATGGTCAGTCGAGTTTCTGTAATAAGGGCTACGTCAATGTTCTTGTCTTGTAGTAAAGCTGTTAGTTCGTCAACGTGATTTCTAACACCATTCGCATTCCAAAGGAGAATGGATATGGGTTTTGGGATGTGAGTCATTAAGGATTTTTCAAAGGAGGGATTAGGTGAGATACGAGATTTGTAAGGAGTGATATGAGTGGAGTAACTAGGGATTTGAAATCGGTGAGGAAAGATGCTAACAAACTGGTGAGATCTGTTGCATTTGAAGGAGGAGGAATTTGAGGTTGTTGATGATTATGTGTGTTAGGATGAACAGAATATTGAGGTTGGGGCTGAGGTAGTTGCTGCGACAGGGCTTCACATGTATTATTGGGGTTCTTACCTCCAAGTAGTTCGGAGTATGATAAATTATTATTAACTATTCTAGAAGGTTCTCTTCTTGGTCTGGTTGTCTCATCTTGAATCCGGTTCTTCTGGTATCTGGATTTGAGGCTCTTATAGGTTTGGCAGCCTTTGTAGTTGGCCGGGTGACCCTCCTGGCATAGTGCACACACTGCAGGATCTTGTATTGGTTTGGTGCACTCCACAGATTTGTGCTGTTCACCGCATTTCACGCAGCGCGGCAGATGGTGACAATAAGTTTTCGTGTGGCCATACGCCTGACAATTGTGGCACTGTACAATTTCCTTCTTGGGGTATGGCTTCTCTATCTTCACGATAGTGTAGTACAATCTCTTGATGTCATATATTTTTTCAATACCAGGTGATGGCTCTAGATCCACGAAAAATAAAGGTAGTGGAACCTTATTACTTACTCCTGGCTGCTCCTTATTCTCCTTCAGAACGTTGGTTACCTGACGCACTTTGAAACCAAGCGTCGCTAGTTCTTCTTTTATAACTTCAGTTGGGGTTGAGGAGTGTAAATTTCTTACCACCACTCGTAGCGATCTCTCCTGTTTCAGCTGGTATGTGTGGAAATTTGCATTCGTTTCGGACAGGTACTTCACAATTTTTCGGTAGGTTTCTGCAGTATCTGGTGTTATTTTCGTATCGTTGGTCCTATTGAGGCAAGAATAACTGCCGGAGCAGATTTCGTTTAGTTGTGTACACAGTAGTTGAAAATTTTTTATATTTTTTATAAATATCGGAGGAGGTCTTGGTTCCCTAGGTACTGCTGCTGACTCCATTACTTCTCTGTCATTATGAAGCACTTGGAACGGGTTTGGAGTGAAGAAAGGAGATTCTTCAACCATTTCTTGCGAAGAGGTACCTGGTTGAGGCTGAGGTTCTGTACCTGAAGTTTTCACTGTGGTTGGAGCAATTTCTCGCAGGCAGCGACGAGTTCTTTGTTTCTCTGGTGAATCACGAGGGGTGCTAACACCGTCTGACCGAGTCCTTTTGGTGGGCACCTTACTGGACATCACTTGATCGATACTATCGATAGTTTTTAACGACACTATCGAACTATCAATAGTGGAAAACTATCGACTATTGCCCATCTCTAAGTGGTAGTGTCGTTTTTACACATTTTTTTAACATTTATCGTTGCTTGAAATGTGCTGTTGTATTTTATCGTATTAATTAATTAACCTACTATGATTTAGATATATATTCTTCATCCACCATCTTAGACTAAACTTATATCTTTTTAATTTTATTTTCTAAATTTATTTATTTTATTTTATTTTTTGAATTCCGTCTGTGTTACTATACTATAGGTTTACGACCACTACAATCACTGATAAAATTCCATGTCCGTTATGTTAGCTTCTTCGGAATAACATAAGCATATAAAAAACCTTTTGTTTTTGTCTATTGTTTTTTAATAACTTTATTGTCTGTATGTGAACTTGTTTTTTTATAAGTGTGTAAAGCCGACTCAAAATTTTTCCAGTTGCTTTTCGAAGATTTACACTGAAGACAAAATTAAAAAAATAAACTTCTGGCCTATTATATTGTACGTATTTTGTATTGTGATGTATTATGTATTAACTACTATCATATTAATACTCACTTTGGACTAAGAATTGTTTATTTTGATTGTTATTAAAGTATAAAATGCTAAAAATATTAACAGCAACAAATTATTTATATAGGTTTGAAAGTTTTTACAAACGGTTTCAGGATTTCAATGCATAATAACTTGTTTTTCTTAAATAAATAGAATATTTATTTTTCCATTTTTTAATAGCCTTTGTAAATAAAAATAATATGACCTCTTGGAAGACTGATTCTTTAAACATTTAAAAGAGAAAATGTCTTTCTTTAAATGTTGAAATATTTGTTTTATTTCTATGGAATTCAATTCAATGAAGTTCCGCAATTTTGTGTGGATTCTATCAGAAATACAATACTGCGGTAAATATCTACTGTTACTGCGGTTTTCACATCAGACAGAATATTGTCTTTCTTTTGAACGATATACAGATATTTCAATACAAGGCACAATATTTTAAATCCAGTGAAGTTCGAATGGTATGGTATCTTCTCTTTTAAAAAAAGTGCACATTTTTAAAGTAAAAATATTGAATTTTTTTTTCCATTTACCAAACTTTCGCAGGATGAAATGATAAGTTACAGTGGCATTTATGAAGAAGCTTGGACCTTGATATTTCCTCGAAGGATACGCGACACTGCGAGTCCTTGTCCAGGACACGCTGGGGCAGGATCTTGATAGCGGAGTTGTAATGAGCCGGCTCATTGATGTCCTGCCTCTAATGGCCAGTTTAGTCACTTATTAATTAGTAGTAGCAGATTTGGAAGATCCTTTTAACATAATGAGGTCCCTCAAAAATAGCCTCCTGCGTCCTTTCTGACCCATCCTTGAAATTTAGATCATCTTAAATTGATAAGAAAGAAGAGATACTGTTCTTTGTTGAAATATAAATACGTTTATTATGGTTTAAATATTTAGAATAGAATAGAAAATAAACTTTATTCTGGGAAGAGGTTCCTTTATGAATAACAGTTATGAACAAAAAATAAAAACCACATCTGGCCAAAAATTACATCAATCATAATTAAAGAATATATACAGTATCTGCAGTGAAAATATATCATAATAAATAAAAAAGTAACACCAGTTTGAAAAAAACAAAAATTATTTAAATGAAAAGAAAGACAGAAATCAGGTAAAAAAAAAAAATATATTATAAGCACTGTGGGCTGATTTTTAAACTTAAAAATCCAAACAATTTCAACAACCTTTCACCTCAGTCAAAATTTGATTCGTAATATTTATTTCAAAGTACAACATAATTTTTGGATGTGAGAATTAATTGGTAGAGATGATATAAATATAATGAGGGCAAGGAAGAGGCAAGGCGGATATCAGAAGGCAAGGAATTCCAGAAGGCAGTGGATCGGGCAATAAAGAAATATTCAAATGTCTTAGTTCTATGGGAAGGGATATACAGTCGGATCTTGTTTTCTGGGAGTGGGACACGGGTTTGAACCGTTAATTTCTTGTATAAATAAAATATTTATTAATAATATTATGAATATATTTAAAAAATATTTAAATTAAATTATAGATAAGATGTTTAGTTAATTATTAAAAAATAATGGTTTCCTCCTAGATAAAAGACTTACTTGGAACCCATATACTAGACTTAAAAACCACAACTGAACCGACAATATGGCCAGCTATATCGACTATTAAATAGAAAATCTCAACTTTGAGTTGACAACAAACTAATCTACAAGAGAAATCTGAAACCGATCTGGACCTGTGAGATCTAGCTTTCAATGCAAAACATCGAATGTATTCAGTCTTTCAAGTCTTAATTTCTTCGAACAAAAGCTGATGCTCCCTTCTATGTAACCAACAAAACCTTGCATAATGACCTTAATATCCCTTTTGTTCTTGACCTAATCTTAGACAAATTTTTCGAATTTCATTAGAACCTTACTCATCATCCAAATCCAGTAGCACAATCCCTATCCAGTTAAGTCGGTTAAAGTTACGGTTGAAACGTCAGTAGCCCCGCAAACTTTTCTAAATTTTTATATATAGGAGTTCTGGCAATGGACACATTCTTCAATTAGGTCCTGAGCGTCTGTTGCTCTAGTCCCCTCTGTCAGTCTAATCTCCACTGGCATCCAATACTCGTGCTGGAAGAGAACCACAGGAATCTCCTGGAGTCCTGCTAACTCGGAATGTGAATGTGTTTTATTTATTTTATTCAGATTTAATCTATTATTTTTGAAGTGAAAACTTCTTTAGGCGTGTTTTGCACTTTTTTTGTGGAGGATGAATTAGATTGAGCTGTCAGATCTGCGATGTGTAACGCTCGGGTAGAGGTGCCTGGAGTCGACTAATTAAAGTGGTTTTGCAAACGGATTAAATTATCTCAAAAATTGAAAATCGCATCTGCATATTGTTAGCGAGAGAAATATTGATCATTTCATCCTCATTGTAGTGAGCTACTATTCAAAATCGTATCTTAACACGAAGCCGAGTTAGGGAGGCAAAAAGGAAAAAATAGTGTCGAAAACCAATTGATAACAAATTTTAAAGAAGATATGGATTAAAATATCTCAGAAACTAAAAATCCGACCAGCATACTGTAAGCGAGGGAAATATTCAACATTTCATCATCTTTATAATGAGCTATTATTTATAATTTATATCTTATATTATTATTTCATATCATTGTTGATGTTTTCACTTCTATCGTGAGATCTAAAGCATACACCTTAGTTTTTTTATGTGTATATTAATTCTCTGTATCTTATTTATTTTAATTATTTATATTCATTACGCGTTTCTATGCACATATTGTATGAATGAATATGTACACCCTTCGGCGTGGCGGATTGTATTAATAGTCAATAAACTCATTAAAAAAAACATAAAGTAACTCTAAAGACTTTATTCATTTTGTGTAAAAAGTTATCAACTTCAAGACCGTCTTTTGACAATGAAGTAACAGAAGTTGTGAAGGGAACGTCTACAGACTTTACATGAACCGAACTGCCTAGGAAGAGGTCGGAGTTTCTTGATCAACGAGGTGATTTAACCAAGAGCACGCTCAACTGCCATGATTTCCACATTAATTTAATTAATTAATGACAATGTCACTTTATGAAAGTTAGATATACCTCATGAGGGTCCCCGGACTCCTGGATCGATCGAAGGCTGATATAACAGAAAAATAATTACCTGATAGATCCAGATTCGAACTCGGAGAATAAGATCACAGTATTTTACTCACTAAGCTATACCGCTCCTAACCCGTTTTCAATCTCTTATTTCCCATGGGTAAGAAAACTGAAAAGAAGCTATATGATCTCCCTGCTTAACTATAAACACTAAAATCAATATAGGAAGGTGTGCCGCTGAGCACTCCACCCTTTCACGTTACTCAATATATTATATGTTCTCCGTATTCTACTTCCAACAGCAAATTCAGTGGTCTGTATATCTGATAGATGAGGAATATTAAATATATATTTCGCTTCAGCATGTACAAGAGTATTTTTTTCGTAGATTTCTAGAAAATGAAAATCTGGGAGATGATTTAAGATCGTATACACTAAATAACAATTTTCTTTTCTGTTAAGAATACTAAAAATCTTATATTTCTTAATTAAGATGATAAAGTTGTACACCATCAGAGATAGTGTGAGAGATTAGATGTAGGATATTAAAAGGTGTTCTTTCCTCCTAGAAGGCTTCAAAGGACTGAGAAAGGACCCGTTGGTTAAAAGGATTCCTGCGGTTATCGTAATGGTGTCCTTTGGGGAAGTATTCTGTTAGCGGGGCCAGCCATATCAAGTGTCTCCCCAACCAACTTCTTCAACAATCTTGTTCATTTTTATTTAATCCTAAATTAGTAGCTTTTTTTTTGGCTATCAATTCGAGTGTATTTCCAAAACCGAAACGCTAAATCATTCGAATTGTTTATCATATTTATATATTTTCTTTTCTTTTTCATTCTCCAATTTTGACTTTTATTCTATAATATATTTTTACACTTATTTGCCTTTACGTCAATTAAAAAGTAATCATAACTTTAACTGTATTACAGCCAATGACCAAACTTATTAGTAACTGTGACTTCACCAATTTTTGGGGCATATAATTTGCTGAAGAGGAGGGCTAAGATTCTCCGAAATGTGATCAAAGACTAGTCTAACATGTTTTAATATTTTAACAATTGAACTTTTAGCACTATTATTAATACAGAAGACAAAACTTGTCTTGTCTTGATTTACTCAGACCTTTGAATTTTTAAATCAGTATCTTTTTTAACCTTCGGCGTAAACTTCTTATTAAATCCTCTCTAACAATAACCTTTAACAATATTTCACTCATTAAACTAACAAGTGTAATTAAGAACAATATATAATTAGCAAAATGTCCCTATATTTCAATAGATGTTCGCAATGAAATTTTTTTAAAAAACTTATTCTATATAATGCTGTAATAAACCCTATAATTACTTAGTCTGCCCTTGTATGAAGTTATCAATGCGAGTGTAATTATAGAAATATGTGAATGAGAGTTATAAATAATTTTCCTTTTTTAAAACTTATTTTATTGAGAAAAAAAATATATTTTGCTTCAATTAAGGGCATTGAGTATTTGGTATGTATGAAACGCAATCACACTATATATACAATGCAACAAAAACAATAGAAAATTATAATAAAAGAAAACTTGCTATAGGAATTGTAGCTTTCAAAAAAGAAAACGTCTTTTTTAAAAGATGTTCTGACCTTTTGAGGCGTCTGATAAGAATATGGCCAAGAGACCTCCTTAATGTAATCACCAATGGGCAGCTTCTTTCCAAGATATTATTATGTTTTAATTTCTTATAGCAGATTTAATTTTTCTTTGAATTTGATATTGCAAATATCTACAAGGTTTAAAAGTTATGGAATAAGATATTATGTTACGTTAATTCAAAAACATTAAAGCTTTTACTCTTAATTAAACAAATCTTTGCATTGTATAATGTTCTTTAAGTTAACATCGAAATATTTACCAGGATCACCCGCATTTATTAGTTTAACATTCTGAGCATTGAGCGGTATAATAATTACGAACTTTTATTATAATTTGTAATTTTTTGTACTTATTATTTTTTATTTTAGAGGATATAAGTAAAAACATTTACTTAAGCTAGAACTTTTATTAAACCGTATTAAAATTATGATTGCCTTCAACCTCATATTGATAAAGTTTTTTTTCCAAACAGTTAAAGTTGAGCTTCTTTGTAAAAAATATATATTTTAAGGTACATATACTCAAAACTTTTTTTTTAAATTTATAAAAAAATAATTCATTATTTCGAAGTACATTAATAAGGAGGTGAGTGGTGATTGCAACGCGCAGTTTAAATAGCACATTTTGCTGACAAAGGAAACCTTTGTATCTAAGAGCGCATACTAAGCTATGTGGCTACACTGGGACAGCAGCGGTTTATCAAGGGCACATTCCAATATATCTCTTCGCTTCCTCGATACCTCCTTATCTCTTGGTTGGAATTCTCTTCCATATCAGTGTTTTTAACAGTAAAAAATTAAAAAAGTATAATTTAATTTTTAATAAAACAAACACAAAAAGGTATTTTTAGGAGGCATATATTTACGTAGTTTTTATGAGGAGCCAAATTTTCACGATGTACAACATAGGGCTATGACACCTCTGGACCACTGCAAGTGAAA